TTTTCGGGCTCGTGTGTGTGTGTGTGTGTGTGTGTGTGTGTGTGTGAGTAAAGACAGACGGGATTGGTCTGGCACTAGCAGCTATTGTGATTATGGTTTAAAGCAGAGCGGCGCCACGTCTCACTACTGTCAGTCATTTAACATTTAACAGCCCAGTCGGTCGATTAATGGAGAAACTAACCAGTCATGTAACATGTCGTATGTTGTGTTTATTCTTTAGGGTCAGTCTAGTGCACCAGCCCAGCTCAGTCAACTGGCACAGTCACTTCCTTTAAGGGTCATTGTAGCTGATAATAGTAATTGGGTATTACCGTGATATTTCCTGAGACGTTATCATGCCGTTGCAGCCCCAGTTGACTGGCTCAGCCCCACACACACACCATCCTGCTGCCACAGATACTAGAGACCAAATGTGGATTTATCTGCTGCTCAAAATAGTCCCCGACAAGTGCATGTTTGTGTGATCACAGTTGTAGTGAGCAGCTGTTTTAGGGAATTACTGAGAATTTTTAAGAGGTGAACCCATATACTCATAGGGTTATGTCTTCATTAGGCACCAATGAGCTTGGAGCTGAGAGCCACAGACAGGAAGTGTTGACAGACAGACTAACACGTTGTAGATTTTAGCCTAAATAAGGGCTTTATTGGCAGCAAGAAGAATATAGAATAACTCCAGACTGATTCTTTAAGTCTGAGGAGGAAGGGTGTGGATTAACAGGAAAATAATGTTTGACTAAAGTGTATTGAGAAAAAGCAAAAGCCACTGATGGAAACTAGGGCTGCAACTAAGAATTATTTTCATGATCAATTCTTGATGATCAATTTTCCTTTTGATTTTTAGTCAACAAATCTTTTAGTCTATGAAACATCAAAAACTCACTTCACAAAAGCTGAATGTGACATCTTCAAAGAAGTTGTTTTGTTTGACCAACAATCCTTAATTCAAATTACTAAAACTAAATAGAAATGAATCCATAAAATAAACTACTGAAACCACTGGTGGAAATAACTAAAGCTGAATGGGAATTCAGACTAAAGCAAAAATAATATCAAAACAAAAGTAATTTGAAAATGGAAAACTCTTATAACCCCAGTCTGAACATTATCACCTTCATCACCTTCATGAAGGAGGATTTACTGCAAGACTGTTGGATTAGACCGACTTAGTTTGAGACGGGTGTTCCTAATAAACTGACCACTGAGAGTTCATACAGGTACACACAACCATGCACTTGTAGACCTGTCATCCAGTTCTAGGGACCCAGCACTCCAAGAAACAAGTAGAGAACAGATGACTTTCCCTCATGTTCATCAGTAAAAATCAGTGCACACGTGCACGCTCTGGCTCGTCTGTGTGATTCTTCACAGATATTAGTTTCCTGTCTAACCAGCGCTCGATGCTCAGTGTGACCCCTTGCTCTTGCAGGTGGTTTCTCTGAGTTCTCCCACCTGTTCCCCGGTCTGTGTGAGGGGAAGTCCACTCTGGTTCCATCCTGTATCTCTCAGCCTTGTCTGCCTGTCACCAACATCGGACCGACCCGCATCCTGCCTCACCTGTACCTGGGCTGCCAGAGGGACGTCCTCAACAAGGTATCAGGGTCTGCAGGTTGTCGGATCCACTGTGTGTCCACTGGGATCCCGCCGATTAGATTCATCCGGTCTGCAGGTTTTTTTAGAGCTACTTTCATCTAGCTTTGTTCATGTCATCGACGCTGAATCTGAGTTTGGAGACACAGCCGCTCTGTGGGGTGGACTCTGTCTGTGCAGGTGTTCAGGCTGCACAGACAGTCAAGAGGCGTAGCCCCAGTGGGACCATGTGATATTGCTGGATGGATGGTGGGGAGTGTGACATGGTAAAATACCCACGTGTCAAGAGTGATGCTCCCGGTGTCTTTTCCTGCACATAGGGCAGGACATCCTGTCGTCCCGGGGTCGATTAAAAATAGGAAATAGGAAAATTTGGGACAATTTTAGCAAGGACAGTTCTGATTAAATGTTCTTAACATACGCACATGGTGCACCAAACATCACTGCCTATGGAAAGAGGTGGACAGGACTTATAGTTAGAAAAACAGCAGCGTATTTATGACCAGTCAAAAATATAATTTTAACAAATCTGTAAGTACATTTTGACTAGTCAAAATCTCATTAAGGGTATCTTCTATTTGAATAGAATAGAATAGAATCTTTATTGTCATTGTACACAGTACAACGAAATTGGGTGCAAACCTCAGGTTTAGAGAAAAATGTGTCAGTATCAAAAACAAAAAACTATAAACCACATAAAAATCACACTTATTGCACATTGACAGACATAAACTGCAAAGGTCCATCTCCATATTGACAGGAATAAAATAATTATGTTAAGTGTTTAATGTTGAGCTGCAGTTCAGCTCTATGTCTATGACCTGTGGAGGCAGAGTCAGTTCAGCAGCACAACCTGTCCAGCAGACAGCGAGTATATCAGCGACTTCAGCCTGGACTGAGGCACCGATGTGATCCCTCTGTGGCTGCTCTCTCACCAGGACCTGATGCAGCAGAACGACATCGCCTATGTCCTGAATGCCAGTAACACCTGTCCCAAACCGGACTTCATCCCCGAGTCTCACTTCCTGAGGGTTCCTGTTAATGACTCCTTCTGTGAGAAGATCCTGCCCTGGTTGGATAGATCGGTGGAGTTCATAGGTCAGCAGACACAGGCACCTTCTCAAACCTTTTCTGTACGATTAGAGGCCAGGGAACTGTTACAACTGTGAGACTGGCTGTTCTCAGTCCGGTCTGAACTCTTCTATGTTTCAGAGAAAGCTAAAGCGTCTAATGCTCGAGTCCTGGTTCACTGCCTGGCTGGGATCTCTCGTTCAGCCACCATCGCCATCGCCTACATCATGAAGAGGATGGACATGTCATTGGACGAGGCGTACAGGTAAGAATCGCACCTGTGGGACACAACTTTAGGTTAGGGGTTGGTTAGTCTGTACCGGGCTCAGTCTTCACACAGGACTGACAGTTTATACACTATTTCACAGCTTGATGTGTCCTGGTTCGGTCTGTGCTGAGCATTTAGGATGTCCATATCACTGCAGCAGCTGCCTTTCTTTTGTAGCAGGTTAGCACACAACAACAGACAAGTGGCTTCTTAGCCTTCTGGCTGTTTGTGAGAGAAAAACAAAGGACATGCACATCCAAAGAAATGTTTACAGGTGCTGAACCAACAACAACCTAAAGGCAAGAAGCAAGAAAAAAGGTTGTATACCTTGTTGTCCCAGTCATTTAATTCAGTAGCAGCAACTTATCGATCTCGACCAGATCTTGGTCAGGCATTATCAGACAGGCAACACATTGAAAGACACAGGCCTGTTATTCATTTATCATGTTCTTTAATGATTAAGATATCCAAAAAATGAACTTTTCAGTAGTCAGCTGTAAATTTGAGATGGCTGTTGTCATTCAAAAAAAAAAAAAAAACTTGTAAACTATAGGAAACCAACAGATAAAAATACATTACATGGCAGGAGTTTTCTTCCTACCTATCAGTCCATTTATTGGAATATGTCATATTTACAGTTGTGATGATCTTGATGCTAAATATATATTGATCTTGTTCAGAGATGTAGGGAGAGAACATATAAAGAAAGCTGGATTCAAAGTGCAGTAAAAAGGTCTGAGAAGGCTGTTGAGTGTTTCAAGAAATGACAGTCCATTATACAATATTGTCCTTTGGCTAAAGAGTTTGAAATAGTTGTTCAGCAACACTGGCACACTTTGAACTCCAAAGCTAATCCTAAGTCGGTTTTTAAAGATCCCTCCAAACATTTGACATCTTGCAGTCAAAGTAGACCTTCCACCAGCGACCTATCAACTTGCGACCTGCCGTCGCTGATGGCAGCTGTAAGTGTGTGCTCAGTGCAGCTTCTGCATGCCACTCCTTTTCACATGCACACTCTGGCAAAATGTTTAATGTAAGAGGCATCATTACTTGCAATACAAACGATGTTATTTATATGATTAAATGTCCAT